TATTCTTTCGCTATCCCTATCGCCGCTGGATCTCCCCTCCTCGTGAACCAAACACACGTGACAATTATGTCGGGGCCAGACCCTGGCAGGTTGGCAGTTGAAATATGATTATCCCCATAGTGGTGAGACCTCTTACAAGCATATTTAACTCTGTGATGATTGGCTATGAGCAGCCAGTCAATTCAAAGGATGTTTCCTTGCAAGTGTGGCCTGTTCCCAGTATAGTGGATACACAGGAAAATCTTGATCTTTTCAGCTGAGAATCTGGGACTCTACAATTGTGAACCATTTCCTTGATATGTTGTTGTTGTTGTTAAGTGCCGTCGAGTTGATTCAGACCCATAGCAACCCCATACAGGGTTTCCAAGGCTATAAATCTTTACGGGAGCAGAAAGCCTCATCTTTCTCCCGCAGAACAGCTGGTAGTTTTGAACTGCTGACCTTGCGGTTCACAGCCCGATAAACTTCTCTATTATTTATTTGTTTATTTATTTATTTATTTATTCATTCATTCATTCATTCATTCATTTATACACACACATATATGCATATATACTCCTGGTGTGGCACTGTAAGATCAGCACTGAACTGCAAACCACAAGGTCGGCAGTTCAAACTCATTAGCCGCTCCTCAGAAACCCTATATAGGGTCGCTATGAGTCAGAACCAACTTGACACTTAACAACAACAGTAATACAAGTTTCACTTGTTTTGTTTCTCTAGAAAACCTCCTAAGAAGGCAGGTCATGTAGGCATATTTCTGCTTTGTAACTAGTTTCAACAGTAGCAATCTGTGATCTTACTGAAATTAAATGCAAAGCATCAGTCTCACTGATTTTAATGAACATTGTTGACAAATAGTTAGAAACTGCTCAGAAACATACTAGTCCCATGATTGCAAAGCAACATTTGTTGTTGAAATTATACACAGCAGAATATGCATCAGTTCAACAATTGTACATGTATAAATGGGTACATTGATTACGTTTTTGAGTCATGCAACCATTCTCACCCATCTTTTCTGAGTTCCTCTCCCATTAATATAAACTCACTACCCTTCTAAGGAAGGAGCTCTGGTAGCGTAGTGGTTACGAATCGGGCTGCAAGCTGCAAGGTCAGCAGTTCGAAACTACCAGCTGTTCTGCGGGAGAAAGATGAGGCGTTCTACTCCCGTAAAGATTTACATCCTCGGAAACCCTATGCAGGGTCGCTATGAGTTGGAGCCGACTCCATGGCACATAACAACAACAACCCTTCTAAGGTTCCTATTTAATCTTTATTGTTGTTGTCAATTTTATGTCAATTAAATAGATCTTAAAAAGTGCAGTGCTCAAGGGAGACATTCTTTTGTTGTTGTTGTTTAATGTTTTGTGAATTATACGGTAGTTTACATGGGAGAACTTTAGTTTTACATTCATTCCATCGTATATCATCTCACTGCCATGGTTCCAATCCCCTCCATGCATCCTCAACCACCCAAAGGGTATATAGCAGAAACCCGCTCCCTACATTTCCCCCTCCTCCCCCCTTTGGCCCACAGTCCCTTTCCCTATCTGGGTCCAAAGTCCCCAATCGCTTCATCACTCCATGTCATCATCTCTGCCTCCATCTCAGGCATCTCTCTTTCTCTGGGTAGGGTCCCACTCTTGGCTCTTCTCCGTTGATGGTCCCAGAGGCCTCCGCTCCTATCCTGGAGAATCAATCACTTCCTTCCTTGTTACAAAACTTCTACCTTTGCATTTCCAACTCAAGGGAGACATTCTTGACTAGTTAAGTTTAATGTAAACTACTGCTTAGTCATTTGAACTGCAAGATCGGTGGTTCAAGCTCACTAGCTGCTCCTTGGAAACCCTATACAGGGTCGCTATGGGTCGGAATCAACTTGACAGCACTTAACAACACTGCTTGGTTTTCAGAAGACATCAAGGGATATTTTTGGTTTAAGGTTTAACCCTTTAATAACCAGTGAGACATAGATCACCCATCAATATTTTCAGCCTCTTAGGTTTCTTGGGAAGCTGCTTATCCAGTTGTAGTATGTGCTGCTACCTGACAGGGACTGTATAACTGCATGAATTTAAAGAAACAGGCCTCACCCACCAATTCCTACTACAAGTTTACTTGGGACATATGTGTCTCATATAATAATTATACCAGAATCCATATTATCTCAAAAAATTTCCCTTGATTTCATCATGCCTTCCATTACTGAAAACACATGGTATCAACAAAACATTCAAAGCAGAAATTAATTCAGTCATGAAAGGTAAAAGTTTAAAGATTAACTGAGGGCAGTAGTTTCAGGAATTCAGCTAGGATCCATGGCTCCAGAAAGGCTAGATTTCATGAGAATTTTAAATTCTGTTTTGTGTCCCTCCCCCCTTTTGATCAGGATTCTTCTATGGAATCTTTCATCAAAACGACACTAGAGGACCTCTTCCTATTCTGACTCTTTCTAATCCTGACTCTCCTTCTTCCTCTGTTGCTCTAGGTGAATAGTCACCTTGGATGACTCAAAGCAACATTTTTAATCAGCTGTGTCATGCCTTGAGCAGGAGTTAGTGCCTTGTAGACACATTTCTTATTTTAGGCAAATTCTAGACCTGTAAGGTTAACATCATAATACAGTAGCCAGAAGATAGGATGGGACTACTGATAGATAAAGCAAATAAATGTTTGAATAAGTTGTCTATAACTTATCTTGGTATTGTTGTCATTGTTAATTGCTGTCATACCGACCCCACATAGGGTTTCTGAGGAGTGGCTATTGGGTTTGAACTGCCAACCTTGTGATTAGCAGTTTAGTGCTTATCCTACATTGTCACACCAGGGTTCCAGTGTTGTTGTGGTGCTTAATAATTTGCAAAGCTCACTCATGAATACCATGTTTTTATTTTATTGTGGTGAAATATATTTAACCAAAAGTCAAATTCAGAAGAGCTCTTTGAAGTAGGGATATCATTGTTGATAGCAGATGGATCTTGACTGAAAGCAGAGAATACCAGAAAGATGTTCATTTTTGTATTATTGACTATGAAAAGGCATGTACTCTGTGGGTCAAAACAAACTATGGGTAACATTGTGAAGAATGGGAATTCCAGATGCTTAATTGTATCCATGAGGAACCTGTACATAGACCAAGAGATAGTTGTTTGAACAGAGCAAGGAATGCTGAATGGTTTAAAATCAGGAAAGGTGTGTATTAAAGTTGTATCCTTTCACTATACTTGTTCAGTCTCTACGCTAAGCAAGTAATTGAAAAATGATGAAGAGGAAGACCCTAAAAATGATGGATTGACACAGTGGTAGCAACGATGAGCTCAAACTTATATGGCACAGGACCAGGCAGTATTTCATTCTATTGTGCATAGGGTCACTGAGTCAGAACCAATTTGACAGTACCTAATAACAACAGCAACAACAAAATAAAGTAACTGCTGATATGAATATACATCTGAAGGTTAAATTTCCTAGTTCATATAAATTTCATTCTATATTTTCTATGGAGTCTTTTTTACCATTTATGTTTATCATATTCTGAATTTATGTCACTGTTTTTATTTCTATGATGAACTGTACAACATCTTTTAGGTTAATGACCCATTTGTGAAAGGGACTGTAATATAGCATAATACTAATAGCAAAGAATACAGATTTGGTAAATGTAAATAACATGTAAAGGAAGGACAGAAAGGTATGGTAGTCTGAACCGATGGCACTGTGAGGTTTATATGGTATGTTTATAATACAGCATTTATAAGAAGTACTTTTAAAATCAAAGATATTCTAAAGGCAAAAATAAATTACTCATAATCTATCTGCGTATATAATCCCTGCTGACGACTTTAAAAAAATAATAGCAATACAGTTTAAGGTTAAGAAAAAACAACATTACATAACGATAACAAATGAAAAAGTCTCCACCCTACCCCACCCCTGCCCCCAAGTCTTTCTTTCCAAAGTAAGTACTGTTCTTTGTGGGGGAAACAAAAATTTTGTCTATATTCATATTTACATAGTTATGTATATTTTTTAAATACAGAGTTCATACTTAGTATCATACATATTTCCACTTAATAATACCTTTTAGAATGCTTTCTGTATCAGCAAAATCCAACATATTTTTTTCTTTTTAGTGGATTTACTGCTCTGTTAATTGAATGTTTGATAGGACAAAACAATCAAGGTTGTCTTTGTAGAATGTGTGTGACCTTTCAGAAAATGATAGTCCTTAAGCCTATAATGGGATTTCTTTGATCAAAATCATAATCTTATTTTTCACATAAAAATCTTTTTTAATGCTTTCAGAATCTTTTAATTGCTAAGGAAGGATTTGGAAAAGTTACTAATTTAAACATTTTTTATTATAAATAAAATTGGTGCAGTGTTGTTTATTTGAAACTATCATATCCCTTTAAAGTATTTGCTAGATTAGATGGTTGAGATCACCAGGAATATATCAAGAAACATTGCAGCATCTTTTTAAATTTAGTTAGCCAGTATCTTAAGTCCTATTGGTGAATTGAGTATATTTACTATTTATATCCCAAATATATTATAAAATTTATTGTTTATGATTTCTGGTACACTCTGCTTATAAGTAACATTGACCAAAAGTTTATTGCTTTCAATTTTGTCTTTGAATTTGTCTTGTAGTGTGTGCTGTATTTATGGAGTTTAAAGATTAATCATCCCAAAACATTGTTTCTTCTTCGAGGAAATCATGAATGCAGGCATCTTACAGAATACTTCACCTTCAAACAGGAATGTAAGTATATCTTGTAAAGTACCTTTTTAATTACCCTTTGTTGTTGTTGTTGTTAAGTGCCTTTAAGTCAGTTCTGACTCATAGTGAACTCTGTATAGGGTTTCCAAGGAGCAGCTGGCAAATTTGAATCGCCGACATTCCAGTTCAAATGGACATTGCAGTCCAGTACATTTTCCACAGCATGACACCAGAACTTCATAGTTATCCTTTAGGCTAACCCAAACTGAATCAAAATATAAAGAAAAAGCAACTCATGAAACTCAAACATTTCCTCTTTTATATTTTGCTTTTATGAAAGAATCAAGCTTCCACATTTTAGGACATTTCTTTTGAAAATAAATTTGTTTATTTCCTGTCCTTATTTATAAAGTAATAAATTAGGAATATTTGAAAAACACAGAGATTCCAAGGAAAGTAAAAATATTATATAATAATATTGTTGTTGTTGTTACGTGCCATTGAATTGGGTCCAATTCCTAGTGACCCTGTCTGTATGTAGGGTTTCCAAGGAGCAGCTGGTGAGTGTAAACTGCCAGTTTTGTTGTTCAAACTAACCTTGGGGTCCAGTGCTTAATCCCACAGTGCCACATAGTAGCTAGAGATAATCATTATGATCTCATTGGTTGGAATATAGTCTTCCATTCTTTTTCTGTATGTATTTGTATATATATTTTAAATAACACTGGACTCGTACTATTATTAAATAAATAGTTCTTTTTAACATTTTTTCATATCATTAAAATCTTTGAAAACAATAAATAATATATTGATTTTGAGATAATTTATTTTATGGATTGCAGTATCATTTATGTAGTAAATTTAATAGCAACTATATGGTGTGGCACTATAGAATAAGCACTGGACTACTAACCATAAGGTCAGCAGTTTAAACTCACCAGCTACTCCTCAGAAATCCTACATAGGGTCACTTTGAGTTGTAACCCACTCACTGGCACGTAACAACAAAGGAATAGGAAATGTACCCAGTCTGCATGGTCCCACCAGTCATTTAGTGGGATTTTCAAAAACTTGGCTAGAAAAGCCGGATTAAATTAAGTCACAGCACCACAGCTGTGTTTAAATTGGTGTAAAGTATTTGAAGAGCGATTTTGCAATAGCTAAAGGAGCTCTGGTAGCGTAGTGGTTACGAATCGGGCTGCGAACCTTAAGGTCAGCGGTTCGAAACTACCAGCTGCACCGCGGGAGAAAGATGAGGCTTTCTACTCCCGTAAAGATTTACACCCTCGGAAACTCTATACAGGGTCGCTATGGGTCGGAACCGACTCGATGGCACATAACAACAACAACAACAACAACATAGAAATTTTAAGTATACATCCCCTTGACTAAGCAATGTGACTTTAGGAATGTTTTATGCAGCCTGTTTTTATTTTCTAATGGTGGTGATGGTGGTGGTCTGCCGTGGAGTCAGTTCCAACTCATAGCAACCCTGCATAGGGTTTCTGAAGCTATAAATCTTTACAGGAGCAGAAAACCTCATCTTTCTCCCACAGAACAGCAGGTAGTTTCAAACTGCTGACCTGGAGGTTAGCATACCAACTCATAACAACTACACTACCAGAGCTCCTTTAGTTTTCTATCGTTGTTGTTAAGTGCCATCAAGTCAGTTCCGACCCATAGCGACCCTGAATAGGGTTTCCAAGGAGTGGCTGGTGAGTTTGAACTGCCGATCTTGAGGTTCAAACTGACATCACAGTCCAGCGCATTAATTAACAAATCACCACAAATTTAGCAGCTTAAAACAAGACTTTTTTTGTAATCTCTCAGTTGTTGTAATTAGAGGTCCAGGCACAGTGTGGGTGGATTCTTTGCTCAGGGTCTCACTGAGCTGAAGTCAGGATGTTAGCCAAGATTGCAATTCTCATCTGTTTTGAAGTTCTTTTCCAAACTCGCTAGTTGTTAGCTGAATTCGTGTCTTTGTAACTGCACGACCAAAGTCCAGTGGTTGACTGGAAACTCTTCCTAGCTTCAAGAGACCGCTTACTGTTTTTAGCCACATGGGCCCTATAGGTAGTTCATAAAATGAATGTTTGTTTTCCAAAATGCATCTCCCTGACTTACTCATTCAGCAATCAACCAAGGGGATAAAGTGCTCTGTTTTTAGACACCTTTTAAATGCTCTGATTCAGTTGGGCCCACCCAGGATAATGTCTTCTTTGCCATAGAGTATAATAAAGTCAGGAGTGTGATAATTCATTTATTCACAAGTTCCACCCACTCAAAAAGAAATAACTGACTATTCAAGGGCATAGGTAATTTCAGGTCACCTTAGAATTCTGCCTACCACAGAGCTATAGTCACATAAAGATACAAAAACATGTATGTGTAAGGATGCTCCTTGCAGTATTAATTGTAATAATAAAACAAAACAAAACAAAAAAAACCACACACCCAAAAAATAAAATAAAGCAAAAAAAAAAAAACAAAAAGCAAAGATAATCTAATTGTCAATAAGAAATTCATTAAGCAACAGTACATATGGATTCCTAGTGTGGTGCTGTAGGATCAGCACTGGACTTCGAACCATAAGACCAGCAGTTCAAACCTACCAGCTGCTCCTCGGAAACCCTATACAGGGTAGCTGTGGGTCGGGACCGATTTGATGGTACTTCACAACAACAACAGCAATACTGGAAAATGGAATAACTAGGCAGCTGTTAAAGGATGAAGGATGCTCTAAATACATTAATCTAGAGAGATGTTTAGCTAAATTGCTAGGTGACTGAGGCCATTTTCAGAATGTATGTTGTATGATCTCCTTTCTAAATTAAAAATATGGACAAAGGAAAATGTGTACAACGATTCATTTCTGCTGCAGATTTCTGTTCAAAAGGACTAATGCTTTTAGTTTTATATCCTTCGGTTGTACTATTCAATTTTTTTTTATCATGTACTATTATAATAAAATAAAACAGTAACTGGATATTTAATAATAACCCAGTTGAGACACAAGCATTTAAAAGGCATGTGAAAGCACCCCGGGTAATTTTGCTACATACTTCTAGTTAAGAACCACTGCTCCAAATTCTTTTGAAAATACTTAAGACTTGTCACTTAGGAACCACTTCAGTAAATTGTTTAAAATGCTTATATGTTATGCATTGTTTTTCTAAGTTGTGTGCTGGTGTATTCCTCATTTTTCCTCCAGTTTTTATCTGGAAAAATTAAGTAATGCATGTAATGCAGTTAACAAAGGCCCTGGAATATAATATTCAATAAAAGATATTTTGATTACATAGGAGTTGGTAAGTAATGAAGAAAGCTGTGTATGGATACTCTGTTAAGAATTAAGATATAAGGGTTTTTGGGAATTTTGTTTTGCATTTTGCTTTCTGTAATTTAGTGCTGAGCATATATACAGCAGAACAGATACCAAATCAAAAGTTTCTACATGTACAATTTAGTGACATTGATTATATTTAAGTTGTGCAATGACTCTTGCTCTCCTTTTTTGAGTTGTTCCCCACTGACACAAACTAACTGCCCCTAAAGTTCCCATCTAATCTTTTCAATTTTATCCCATATTCATAGATCTTTAAAAGCATAATATAAGACAGACAGTCTTTACTAGTTAAGCTAAACTGTTGTTTGATTTAAAGACCAGGGGATGTTTTTTGGTTTAAGGTTTAAAAGATTATCTCAGGGCAGTAGTTTCAAGAGTTTATCCAGCCTCCTTAGTGTGGCACTGTAGGATCAGCACTGTATTGCAAACCACAAGGTTAGCAGGTCAAACCCACCAGCTGCTCCTCGGAAGCCTTATCCAGGGTCCCTATGAGTCCAAGTCTACCCTACGGCACTTAACAACAATCCAGCCTCTGTGACCGCAGAGGAGTTCTGGTGTGGTGCCATAGGATAAACACTAGATAGCTAATCCCAAGGTTGGTGGTTCAAATCCACCAGTCACTGCTTAGAAACCCTATACAGGTTCACTATAAGTTGGAACCTACTCAACGGCACTTAACCACAACAAACCCAGGAAGAATGGATTCCATGAGAATTTGAAATTCTATTCTGTTCTGCATGTTTCTCCCATTTAATTAGGATTCTTCTATGGAATCTTTTATCAAGATGTTCAGTAATATTCTTCTGGTCTCAGGGCAAAGGAGGAAGTTCATGGAGACAGGTTATGTATTCCATTTCCTCCTCTGATTCTCCGCCCCCCCCCCTTTTTTTTTAAAGTTTTTATTGTGAATTGAGTGATACTTTACTTGGGGGAACATCAGTTTTACACTCAGCCTATCATATTCGTTTCATTGCAATAGTTACAATCCCCTGAAAGCTTCATCATAGTTTTGGCTTCTGGATTTTTGGGGGGATGTGCACCAAAACTCTAATCATTCAAATACAAGGGCACACCCTGCAAGCCTATCCCCCGGCCACTAGCACACATCCCCTCTGCCTCCATGCGTCTAGAGTCCTCAGCTGCTCCCTCTCTTCATGTCACCATCTCTGCCTCCATCTCTCCTCCTTTGATTCTTGACTCTTCCCTCTGTTGCTTCTGCTGTGTAGAGATCAAATTGTTGCTCCTTGAATGGCTGCTTCTAAGCTTTTAAGACCCCAGCACAACAAACAAGGAGGTGTAACAGAAGCACTAAACACCTTATTAGACTAGGTAACTGGGATGCCCCTTGAAACAATGACTGTAAACCTCCAAACCAAGAAACCAAATCCCAAGTGATATCTATTTGACAATTTTTTGGTATACAACTTATTGACCACAATTATATTAATCAGCTGTGCAACCCTTCCCTTAATCAGTATGATTTTTCCATCACCCTAAACCGAGACTCAGTAGTCAGCAATAACCCCAATTTCTCTCTCCTCCCAACCCTGTTCTTGCATTTTTTGTAAATAAGTTCATATAATATTCTTTTATGATTGACTTCACTCAGCATAATGTCTTCAAGCTCCATCCATATTGTAGCATGTATCAAAATTTCATTTCTCATACTTGCTGTGTAGTCCACTGCATGTATGTG